ACTAAAAAATGATCTACTATTGTCAAAGTTGTAAATGTTGCAAAAAATAAAATTAAACTTGAATTATGGTATTTAAGTGAAAATCTAGCTGTTCTCCCATTATTCAGAAAAGAAATTTCTTTTGAAGAGAAAATGGAAATTGTAAATGCCTTACAAAAAGAACCATTACCAGGTGACAACAGAAGGCTTGCTTCAAACAAGATTTATACATTCTCTAAACTTTCTATAGCTAACTTTTTTACACGAGGCTCAATGAATTTGTTTGACTCTCTCAATCTACCAAAAGAATTCTTGACATCGTCTCCTAAATCTTAGGCTAATCGTGATGACTACAAGGCTGCTTGTAAGATTGTTTGTGCCATGAAAGTGGTTAATGACTGTGCAGAACGGGCAGTTAAATTAGCCACTGACTTTAATGAAGTTTTGACAAAAAATGACAATCAGCGTCAGCTTCTTTACCAAGTAGTTATCATAGAAAAAAAATTTCAACTGAAGCTACAAAGAGACAGTTAAGCCATAATCATTCTAAATAACAGCAATTTAATCTATTCAAATACGCATACATATAATATGAACTAAATATATAGTTAAGTACATATATGGCTACTGTTTTTCTGTAGTATTTTAATTTAGTTATATGTCAAGGTTTGATTAAGTTATGTATGATATTTTATTAGAATAATTTTAAATGTTGTTATTTGTAATATGTTTTCTTAAACGCATAAAATCATATTTTTTATTCTTTTAAAATTTTTGTTTGAGTAAATTATTTTTTGTTATTTTTTAATTCATAAATTTGAATTAGGGCTGAGTTAGAAATGACTGGTAGAGGGGCATACGGGGATTTAGTTTGGGGCATATGGGTCAATAGTACTCACAATTAAAAAAACTGAAGAAATGTTAAAAAATAAGAATCTTTTTTAAGTTGTTATAACAGCTTTTTGTATTTTTACCCCCTTCCCCTTGCCCTAAGTTACCCCTGCTACATACATTCATACACTTTTCTTCACCCTAATAAGTAAAATTATTTCATGTAGCACTGGCAATAGTTTATTCTAATGCATTTCAGAAAATTATCATTTTCAACAAAGATGGGCCTCAAAAGGGCTTAAAAAATATATCCAGGTCCTAGTGCCCTGAGGAGGTGGGGTCTGGGAATTTGTCACTGCTAGATACTTATTGTATCTAGCAGTGACAAATTCCCATTGATACTTATTGATTTTAATACATTTTAGAAATATGTCATTTTGGTCAAAAACGGGGTTCTAAAGGGCTTACAAAGTAGGTGTGGGGGACCACTTCCCATCATCAGTTTGGAAAAAAATATTATCAGTTTATTAACTTTTTTTATTGAACCTCACCAAATAAGAGGGTGTGCGATATCAAAAAAAAAAAAAACAAACACCCTAATATATATATATATATATATATATATATATATATATATATATATATATATATATATATATATATATATATATATATATATATATATATATATATATAATTTTAATAATATTAATTTTCAAAAACAGTCACCCACAACCTGAAATTTATTATATTATTTGCAGGCAGTAGCATCATGACTTTCTGAATTCCTAGAATTTTCTTGAACTTTATGGAACTTTTTATAATTTTGTGGATTGTTCTGGATGTTTTTAGAAATCTTTCTAGAACTGTCTGGAGTCTTCTAGAAGTTTATGGAAATTTTAGACTATACAAGCTGTTTGATTGAGCAACGCTAATTATCATGTATGAATCTGTATTCGTCAGATGGCAGTCAAATAGTATAGAAGTACAAACATATTCAGAAATTAATTATATTCAAAAATTATATAAGTAATATCTTCAATCATAATGTCCTATAAGATAAGTGCTTTCACTACTGAAAAAAACAAGACAATCTGGATGAAGAATTACATACGATTTTGAGTCAAATAGGAAAAGAACTGTTCCACTAGAAGAGCAATCACTAGAAGTTAACAGCAGGATACCACTCTAAATCTATATTGTTGGTCGCTATCTGTTCTTGGGAGAGCCCATCAAAGGGAGACGAGAACAAATAAAGCGAATTGAGAAAGAAGTAACAAGTTTATGGCAAAATTTATCAATTCAAGTTGTACAGGCAAAACTGGATCAAGTGCTGAGAACATACAATAATTGCTTAAAACAAAGAAAAAAAGGCCTATTGTATGAAGTTTTTGACAGCACAAAAAAAAATAGTAAATGGCTCTGCAGTGAAGACAAAAGATTGTATCATCTTGGGAAGGCTTCTAGTTCAAAAATTATCCATCCATATAAAAGAAGTCCTTCAAGTCTACTTCAACAACAGTAATGGAAACAGCAACAATGTCAACTTTTGAATCCAAGGAAGAATATCAAGAGCCTGAAAATTCAAAAGATCAGTCCACAAATACTAGCAAGAACTAAAGCAAAATCAAAACTGCAACCAAATTACTAATATATTCAGAGTTATTAACCAGCAAAATAGCAATTATTTTGTCGACAGTTATTCCTAGATGGGATCGACATCAGACACTTTCACAGTCTATAATATTCTTTAACAGTTGATCTGCACTTTGATGGTAAACGTAAAAGTCAAACATAAATTATACCAAGTATTAGTATTGAATATCAGATGTTAGTGTTGAAGAATAAACAAAGAAAAGTCAAGTTACAAGCACTAGATCTATCAGAATCTATCTATCTATCATATAATCTATCTATCAGAAAAGCAGATACTGTTGTTAAAGGTATAACAGTTATTCTTGGTGAATACAATTGTGAATTTATGTAAGACTATAAAGATGATTGTATCGAACATTAGGAATGTAAACACTGGAAGAAGGAATGGGATTGTCTGTCGGTTACAAAGATGTTTTACTGAAAAGAAACTGAAAGAACCACAACTAATTGGTTGTCAATGTCATGTTCTTGACTGAGTCCTTCACATAGTAATAGAGGAAACAACAAATGTTGCCAAATATCAAATATTCCTTTGTAAAGAACTACAAACAACTCAGGAAGAATTTCAAGTGGCATGTTGATATGAAATTTTTCTTTCTTTTGAAAATTGGTATTTTGAGGAATCTTAGGTATTTCCTAAAATGAAGTTTCTGAAAATACCTAAACTAAATAATGCAAGATGGAATTCCCGTACAATACTAGCACTTTTGGCATTTATTTTTCTACCAGAGAGAAGAGACTCACTACTCAACATTGTAGATTCATCTCTTACAGATAGGCGAACAATTTGTTTATTACTTAAATTTTTAATGCAGATGATTATTGGAAGCTATGTAGCTGCTTGCATGGTCACAAAAAAGTGTTAAACTCAGTGAAAAAGTTTTGGAATCAGGAACCATCAAGACTGGGAATTCCCAGAACAAATCAGTGTGCAGAACAAGCAATCAACTGTCTTCAAGATCTTTTTGACATATGTAAAAAGAAAGGGAACCTCCAGCTTAAGTTTATTTTGTCTAATACAGCATAAGAATTTTATATTAAGTTTTATTTAGGCTGAATATTACACAACTTTTTTGTTTTTTTATATACAGCAGCTTTTAGTACTTGAAGAACTGTTATTTAAGTCTGTAACTTAATATTTATTTAAGTTTGTAAATTTATATTTATTTAAGTTTGTAACTTTACATTTATTTAAACTTGTAACTTTATATTTATTTATAATTTAGAGTGTTATGATATAACAATAAACTGTTAAATGCCTAAAAACTAAATCTCTAAATAAAAAACTAGAATTAAAAAATAACGATCATTAATTAATACATATAATATTTATACAAATAAGACAAATTCAAATTTTTAGTTTGTGGGTGGCCTTTTTCAACAAAAAAAATCAAATTAATGTTTTTTTCATTACTTTGGAACAAATATTAATTGAACATGGGGTCACAAGTCTTTTTTTGTGGAGATGATCCACAAGTCTTTTTTTGTGGAGATGATCCACAAGTCTTTTTTTGTGGAGATGATCTCCATAAAAACTTTCATACTTTTTCTACATCAGATTCACCATTGTACCTTTAACAACAATCTTAGGGATGACTGGGGTTCTTTTTGTATTTTTCTTGGTGATGATCCTCCTTGATCATGGTTGAGAAACTATCATTTAGGCTTTCTGCTTAAAAATATGCCTCTAATAAAACCTCCTATATTTGCACAAGAATAAAATCTTTCATACCATCTAGTTGGTTTCAAGTCAAGCCTTACTTTACTTGATAGTTGTTTTTTATCTTTCATACCTGGGTGTGATCTTATCCTCTCCAAAGTATAAAACAAAACTATTTGCAAATTTTCACTCTAACTTATCTCTTGAAACTAAAAACTACAATCTTAGAGAAAAAGAGAAAGACATACAAATCATTTCAGCTTTTATTCATTTATTTTGGGTTAATTTATTTCTTACTTTATTTTTACAGCATTTCATACAGCAGTCAGGATAACATTCCTGTAGAAATATCACAACTTGAGTCCAATAACTTTCTTTCTGATAATCAAGAGAAATTTTCTTTATCTGGTTTTACTGCTATTTTAGAAGTAAAAACAATCAAATTTTGAGATATAAAAAACCTTGGTTCTTGTGACAAAAGCCAAGAATATTGATATATAAAAAACATTGGTTCTTGTGATTAAAGCCAAGAATTTTGACATATAAAAAACCTTGGCTCTTGTGACTAAAGCCAGGAATTTTGACATATAAAAATGCTTTTCATAAATACTTTTATCTGGTTGTTATTTTGCTTACTCTTAAGTATCTGGTTTTCTCCAGGAAGCTCTCTTTGTATGGCGTATCTGTGAGTTTTCAAAATTATTGAATCATAAAACAAAAACATAAAATTTGGTCCTTTTGAATGGCACTATTGTAATCTTTGATGGTGTATATTATTGTTATATAAAATCATTATTAAAATATTTTGTAACTGTAAATATACATTCAATTTAACTTTTATACATGCTGAAAATAACAAGTTAAAAATACTTACAGCAAGTATCATATCTCCAGGTTCAATTCTTCCATCTGCGTCAACAGCACCACTTAAAGTATTTTTAAAAAATTTAACAAAACATTGAAAAATATTTTAAATAAGAGAAAATATATACTTAAAAAAAAATAAAAAATAAAATTTTCATTCAGGACTGTAAAAACTTGCCAGGGTTGTTTATAAAAACCCTTTTTTTTGGGGGGTTAAATTATTTTAACTAATGTGGAACATTTAAGTATTTCTATTAAAAAATGTACCACAAATAAGTACAAAAAATTAAAATTTAATTATTATGTTAAAACCTTTAATTTTGGAATAAAAAAAATAAGGTTTTTTTTTTTTTTCAAAACTTTAAGTTTTGAATTAAAGTTTTGAAGTTTTGAATAAAAGTTTTGAAGTTTTTGAAGTTTCGAATAAAAGAAATAAAACTTTAATTAGTCTAGTAGAATTTTTTTTTTTTTAAGTGTAACTCTTATGTTTTGTTGGTACTCTAACAATACCTCTAACTTTAAATATTCAAACATTATATTTTCATTATGATAATTAACTTTTTCAATATTTATTAAAAAAATTGGTTTTTTTAATTAATAATTTTTTTAAAAACTCTCATATAATTTATTACTCTATACTGTACTATTATTACTCTACATTATTTATATAAATCTCAATAGTGGTGGATGAAATTCTCAAGAGAGAATTTTATCCACCACTATGGAAAATTAAATTTAAGAATTATTTAAACAGGGATCTGAATTTAAAAATTTAATCAACAAAAAACCTTTTTTATATTTAAGGTTTTTTATGTCATTATGTGTTTAAAAGCTTTTTTGCTAAGTCTATTTACTTTTAATAATTCAATACCCTTTCATAACTGATCCAACATATATTCCACCATCTCCCTTCTTATTAGCTTGTCCAACAATACTGATGCCGAGAAAATTAATCTTGTCTAAAAAAAAACACATAAAACACTGATAATCTTATTAAAAAACTTCTTTATAAAACACTGATAAACTTAAAAAAAAGGAAAAGAATTGTAAATAAACTTGAATAAAAAGATTACCCATATTTAAAACAACAGTGATAATATTAAGAGACATAGTTGACTCAGTGATTGTACTGAATGAAGAACACTAAACCATTAATGAATTAAAAAAAGATAAAAAAGAAATAAAAGATTACAAAGAAAAATTGTATTGTTAAACGAAAAGTAAAAATACCCTTTCTACACGAGGCATTCTTTGCTTTCTACGCCGCCGCTTTTGACGTGCTCCACCATACTTTGAATTTTCAGTAGTGCTAGATATCCGACTTTCTTCATCTGAATCAACAAAACTTGTAGTTTCCAAATCGCTACTCATAATAGAAGAAGAGTCAAAGTCTGAGCGATGATCTCTGTGATTTCTTACTTTACTTCGATTTTCATCTTTAAACAATTATAAATATAAAATAACTTTGTTTGTAAGCATTATTAAAGAAAAGAGTAATTATGATAAAAATAAAGGAGCTATGAGAAAATTTTTTTGTTGCAAATCAAAATTATCATGTTGAAAATAAATAGTATTGTAATAAAATAATTATACAATTATCATGATAAAAATAAGAGTTTACATCATATTCAATTATAATGTTTACACTATATTCAAATAAAAACAAACTGTAAATAAAATGTTTTAAAACAAACACAACATGCCATGATAAAACTTTTAAAACAAATGTTACAATAAAAGTAAATTTTAATACGATCAAAATAAGTCTTATTACTTTCAGTATCTAAACGACGACTTCTGTTAGAACGAACACTTTTGTGAGAGCAAACAGATTCATTATCTGGAAATCTATCCTTTTTACTAAAAATTTAAATAAAAAAAATTAATCTTAAAATGAATTTTAATATATTTTTTTCAAAAAAAAAATTTCATATTATATTAGTTGTATACCTAACATTGGAACGTCCTTGTTTGAGTGCAGATTCACCTGAATTAGTCGAGTTGCAATCATTGGAACCTTCTTCAGGTGGTACAACCTAAAAAAATATTTTAATAAAATTTTTTAGATATATGGATAATGTCTACATAAATTTAATTTAAAGTCCTATATTTTGTATACGCATCATGTTTATGGTTTGTAATTTGTACATGCTTATCAAATGTTTTGTTAAAAAAAAAATTTGATTGCATTTATTATTATTTTTTATTTGATTGCATTTATTATTTATATTGATTGTGATTTTTGGCTTCAATATTGATTATGACTTTTTGTTTTACTAGTTTACATTCATTTTATAAGATAACCTGCATATTTAAAGGCATGCAACTGGTCACAAAATAAAATTTTGTTAGCCACACAATTAAAATGTTATTTGGAAATTTGATCATAACATTTGAAAAATGAGCTAAATAAAAAAGATTTTATACTACATTTAACATTAGTTTATGTACACCATAACTGCAGCCTTTACTATATGCTTTATTATCATATCCTTGAACTCTGCAAACCTGCAAATTTATATAGTCAAGCATGCTTCCATGTAAGCATGCTTCTCTGAAACATGAACAAATGTTGCCATTGACAAATAGAAATCCCAAAAAATTCATTTATTTTTACTGGTCTACTCCCAATGTTGCAAAATCACGAAATCATATATGATTTCATATATCACGAAATCATATATGAAACCATATATAATCATGTAGGCATAAAATGTATTTTCTTAACAATTCAACCAATCCCAAAAAATTTTGATTGTTTGTTTGAAACAATCCACAGTGCCACTAAGTGATAAATTCCATTCTGCAAGAAATTGCACAATTATAATGATTTGTGAGTAGCCCTCATCTTCATTTAATATGAAACATAATTTTAATTTTATAAATTCATGTTTATTTGGTGATAAAAGATTATTTAAGAGCAAATGATCAGCCATAATATCACATACAATTTCCTCCATTAATTTGCCAACTGTAGAGGTCAAAAAGATTGACCTATACATTCTTGTCACAGTTTAGTAAAAGTCTTAGTAAAATTACCTGGATCTGCGCGTAAACCTTTTTTAAATATTGGTGTAATGTTTTACTGTTTCCAAACATCTTCGCTATCAAATAATGAAAGGAGAAATTTATTTTTGTGTCTTCATTTAGAAACTAATTGGCCTTTTTTATTTAGCAGGTTATTTCCTTTGTAAAATAATATTTCAAATTTCTCATTTAAACAAAGCTTACAAATTTTTGACGCAGAATTGTATGGTTTACAGCTTTTAATTAAATTCCATTTGATTGAAGATGTAAAATTGTTTTCTTTTAATTCCCATACTTCCTTAGATAACTCTAAGTGTTTCTGTTAAATATTTTGTGTAGTAATACAATAGTACAATTACAATGCTTATGCTTTTTTACAGATAACTATTACAGGGCAGCCACTGGTCATAGAAATCATGGAAATGTCATGGAGTTTTATTTGGTCATGGAAAAAGTAATATCGAGCTAAGATTGTCCACCAACTCATCAAGTGAAGTTATTTTCAATAAATCGACACATCTTTATAAAAACGCACTAAGGCAACCAGGATACACTTATAAGTTGGCATATAAACCAAGCATAAAAAATATTCCAAAAAATAACCACAATTGAAATATAATCTGGTACAATCCTAGTATTCCTTAGTAAAAATGTTACAATCGAAATTGGTCAACGCTTTTTAGCCCAAATTGACAAGGATTTTCCTAAAGACCACAAACTACACAAAATATTTAACAGAAATACAATTAAGATAAGCTACTCCTGCATGCCAAACATTAAATCTATCATCAACTCACACAACAAAAATATTTTGTATAATGATGTAAACTTATCAGAAAGAGCCTGCAATTGCATTAAAAAATCTCTTTGACACTGAACAACAATTGCTGTTCTAACAACATCGTTTACCGAGTCACCAAAAGCTCAAATAAATCTCAATACAAAGATAAGGTATACATTAGGATAAACAAACCTCTTTTAAGCTACGTTATGCGAACCATGTAAAATCCTTTAACATAAAAAAGTACAAGAACGACACTGAGTTATCTAAGGAAGTATGGGAATTAAAAGAAAACAATTTTACATCTTCAATCAAATGGAATATAATTAAACACTGTAAACCATACAAACCCTGCATCAAAAATTTGAAAGCTTTGTTTAAATGAGAAATTTGAAATATTATTTTACAAAGGAAATAACCTGCTAAATAAAAAAGGCCAATTAGTTCTAAATGAAGACACAAAAATAAATTTCTCCTTTCATTATTTGATAGCGAAGATTAGTTTTCCATTACGTCTTCTTGTACTGAAATGTTAGAACTCATTCTACCGTAGTTTGTAATTTTTAAACGGTTTTTTATATTTTTGATTTTGTACTTCATGGCTGATGATTGCCGATAGTCATGAAACTTTAAGTTCCATTCAAAGTTGTTTTTTCTATATTTAAATATATATATATATATATATATATATATATATATATATATATATATATATATATATATATATATATATATATATATATATATATATATATATATATATATATATATATCATTAAATTTATAATATTAAAGATTTATAATTTTTAAAATGAACATTAGAAGATGTAAAAATATATATATATATTATGTTTGATGTTTGAAATTGTTTTTTAGTATTAATTAATAATTTCAATATTACCCATGAAACAACACGGCCATTAAAACAAGGCAGTATTGTATCATCATCAATGATTTCTTCTTTTACAACTCTAAAATAAAAAATTGATACTTAATAAAAAAGCAGTTGAAAATTGAAAAAAAACAAAAGATTACATTTACATTTATGTTGCTGACAATAAAAATAGTTTTACAATTTTTATATTAAATCTTATCAAGAAAAAAAAACAATTAAATATATTTTAAGTGAGCAAAACAATTTGTTCATTTCAAGTATGTGCCCATAGGATATAAGAACTGTTCTGCAATCTCTGATTATCTTCTCATGAATTTTACAAAGAAAAGAAATAGCCATGACACACTGGTTAGAGAAGTAGCCATGGTGTATTTTTTATCAAATTTTTTAATAGCCATTTAAGTATCAATAAAAAAAGTAAGCCTAACAATTTATATTTAATACATAAGTCTCTACCAGGGATAAAATAGAACTCTGTGAAAAACTCTTCATTGAATTGATAATTTGAATTTAATAACCACCCCTTCCTGATATCCCAAAGAAATATAGTAATTGATTTTTAGAAATCCAAACCAATCCAGCTTCCCTTGATCAAGTTATTAAAGGAACTGATCTACAGCTTTTAGTCAGCACAACATTCATGTCACAGTTTAGTAAAAGTCAGGAACTCTTTTTAATACTCTCTAACAAGTGCTTAAACTGAATCTTGTTTTTGTATTTGGTATTAAATGGCATCCATTCCAATTTTTAAAAAAATCTGGAGATTGCTCTTACCTTTTTATATATTACACAATCTGTCTTTTTACTATTATTAGCAAGATCTTTAAAGGAATTCTTATGTGCTGAAACAAGATGTGTTCGTATCTTTAGCAAACAAATTATTTATTAAAATGGTAATAAAAAAACTTCTATTTTTAACACCTGTTGCTTTTTGTGAAAGAAAGTTATAGGTTGTTGAATTTTTCATTCGCAAGAAATCTGATCTGATTAAAGAGTTTATCTTTGACATCAATAAAAATAAGTATTAATAACAATACTTATTTTTCCCACTAATAAAACTGGGGCTAAAATTATAGGTTTTAAGGAGATTTGGTCACAAACAACAATTTTTTGAAGGAAAAAGTAAGGAGAATTTATAAGAAAACAATTACATTAAAAACAGAATCATTCTTTTTTCAATAGATTTTAAAAGTAAACAGATAAACTATTATAAATGAATGTTTTATATATATATATATATATATATATATATATATATATATATATATATATATATATATATATATATATATATATATATATATATATATATATATATATATATACACCAAGGACTACGGAAGGACGCACAAAGTTGATGTCCTGACTCCGCTAGCGAAGGCCATTATTTTTATCAAAGTTGAAGTGTTTTATAACGTTCCTGTAACATTTTTTTTTAAATTTTCACCATTATCATGGTGAACAAATGTGGCGTTGTAAATTGTAAAGGAAATTATAATAAACTTAATAAGTGTCGTATTTTTCAAATTACCAAAAGATGAAATTGAGAAACAGAAATGGATTAATGTTCTTCCTTTACGTAAAATTTTTATCATTGAGCCCTCTAAATTTTTTATATGTGAAAAACATTGACCTGAAAATACAGAAATGATTAAGCTGCCTGGTGGCTATACTTGACCAGCATGTGCACCTTGTATTTTTAATGTTCCTTTTTCTTCTTTACCAACTCCAAAGCCTGTGCCTCGCCAATCTAAACCTGAGGACAAGCAATTGAATTATTTCATCAAAAAAGATAGAATAAATTTGTTTTCTGATTTTCATCCTGACAATGAGTCGCACAAAAAGTTTAAAAATATAGTAATATCTCGACAAGACGATAAATTCATATGCATTTTTATGTCAAAAGATTTCAAAGAGAGTTTTGTGACAATTATTGTTTATGATAAGTGTACCTTGTGTTCACCGCTAACGAAAAGCTTCAGTCTATAATTTCTGCCACTAACATTGACCATGTTTTACAAAAAACATTTAAAAATGTAAAGAATAATCAACAGAAAAATGTTATTTTGATAGTTGATGAGGTAAAAATTAGGCCAACAGTTGCTTATTCGTGTGGAGTTTTTAATGGGATGGCAAGAAATGATCCAGAATCCAAAGCAACCTCTATGCTATGTTTCATGATGAAATGCTTACATGGTGGACTTAGTTTAATGATTTTTGTTACCCCTGTTAACAAACTAACATCATTGTATCAGTTTATTGTTGTGAAAGAAGCTGCTATTATAGTTGAAAAACATGGTGCAATAGTTTTAGGATCTGTAACTGATAATCATAAAATCAATCAGCAATACTGCAAAATTTTTAACAGAATAACTGACTATCAGACCATTCATCCATTAGACGATCAGCGTGTTTGGTTTCCTTCTATTTGACACAGTTTATCTACTTAAATGTATTCGCAATAACTGGATTTCTGAAAAGTATCAAAAGCTATAAAACCATAGCTTCATTTTCAGATGTGAAAAGTCTATATCAATACGAGAAAGAGAACATTTTGAAAACAGTTCCTTAATTCTATGCTGCTGCCTATCCTTCGAGATTTCAACTACAGAATGTACAGCATGTTTTAAGAGTGTTTAATGAGAAAGTAGTAGCTTCCCTTAAACTAAAAGGAGCTTATGAAACATCCCCTTTTATCCAGCAGATTTTAGATTGGTGGAATATTGTTAATGTTTCTGCAAAAGGGCAAGATGTTAGGTTGAGAGATCACAACCGATCTGAACTAACAAATGAAGCTAAAGACTTTATCAAAGAAGTTTAAAGGGGATATTTGTCAGTTCCACACGAGTGTACTTACCAGCTAGTTAGAATTGGTAACGCTTTGTGAAAAAAACAAAGCACAGAGCATGCTGTAGAAAAAGACTTATAAACATTCTATCTATAATGGACACATATTATGATTTTGGTTTATTATCTAAGAGTCTTTTTAGGCGTTTGACAAATGTTCTTCTGCATGGAATTCAGAACTTGGATAAAGACCAAGCAAAAAATGCATGTCTTTATCAGACATCAATTAAAAAGGCATGCCTTGCTGAGTAGTGAATCTTTCTTTTTAGATTTTTTACTTGACAAATATCGTATTGTTTATTTCTTTACGAAGTTATATTAAGTTCATTATGTTTTAAAAAAAAAAAGTTTTAATATTGTTAAAAAGTCTCTAGAGAATAATGATGTTTATATGTTTATTTCTTTATAAATAAATTGTGTCAATAATATGTTATTTATTTTTTTATAGAGGTTTTTTATATCGATCTTTTAAGCTTTTTAAAATAAGTTTTGATTTTGTTATTAACAATAACATAAAATTATTTTAATCGTATTTCAGAATTTTGATTTTATAAAACATTGTTTAAGCCAATTTTAGTTATTTAGGAGTTAAGTGAGAAATGTTGACTGGCCTTCACTAGCGGAGTCAGGAAATCGACTTTGCGCGTCCTTCTGTATAGTAATCCTTGATATTAACATATGTATATATATATATATATATATATATATATATTATATATATATACATATATACATATATATAATATATATATATATATATATATATATAGTATATATATATATATATATATATATATATATATATATATATATATATATATATATATATATATATATATATATATACAGGCTTCGGCAGGAATGACGGGCTATAGCCCGTGTCCGTCTCCGCACCCGTCTAAGTCAGTTTAGACGGGCGATATAAAGCCTGTCTGAAACATAAGTTTTGTGTAAAAAAAAAGATGAATATTTTGATGTTTTTTTATTAAGATACTCTTTTAAAACTTCTCTCGTGACATAATTTTAATATGGATAGCAAACTCCAACTTATAATTGTTTATATTTAAATATAAAAATTAAACAATTTAATCATTATTGTATAACATGATGTAGAAAATAATATAACTAAATCTTACAGTTTTTGAAACGACGCTAACTGTTTGATATAATACCAAACAGTTACCATATTATGTTCAAAATTTAATAACTATTATATTAAATAGGGAAATATACACATGTGATGCACAAGAAGTATCATGTTGTTTTGGTTTTTCAATGTTTATAATAATAACGATAATAAACTAATTATCCATGTATTTCGCTTTTTTCCGATAAACTAGTTTGTTTTACTTTAAAGACATTTAAAGTGATATTTCCGCGTTAACTTCCGCGTTAACTTCACGTTTTTTCTTAAAGAGACGGCAGTTTATTTAATATGCAATTATATAACTCGTTATTGAAAATGAAATATCTCATTAAAAATCAACAAACGTCTAATCAATTTTTGTAGATAATATAAATAGTGTTGCTTTATAGTTATGAAGTTATTCAAGTTATCCAGTCATTCAAGTTTTTCAAGTTATTCAAGTTTTTCAGTAAAGATAGTAATGGCATCATCTGGTAGAAGAGTTACATTAGCAACATTTTTGAGTTGGGGTAAAGATGGAGTCTGTGGAAAAGAAACTGAGGTGATGAATGGAACAATTTTTGTTGTGAAGATATGGTGTATGGTTTGTATAAAATATAAAAAAGAATTGCTTTGCAAGTTAAAAGGTCTGCCAAAATCAAAAGCATTAGCATTTATAGAGGGCACTACGAACGTTAAAGCTAGTAACATACATACGCTTATATACATGCTTATATTGTATATAAAGTAACGGAAGCCCCGGTATCTTAAGAAATTATTAGTACTTCTAAATAAAAACTTATTTTATTAAAAGAAATTAGATTTCAAATTTTTTATTCACGTATCAGAATAACTATTTCCGATCAGGATAGGCATAGGTAAAGCAAAGTTATAAAAATATAAATAACAGTTTAAGTTTTTAGTTTGCACGCCCAATAGAATGCAAGAGTATATAAATAATTGAATTTGAAAAATAACATAGTTACGTATCATATTACCAAGCTAATACCAAACAATTCTAAAACTATCGAGCTCATTGATTCAAGGTTAAAAAAAAAAAAGATTTCAAACTATTTGCTGAATAATTAAAAAAATTAGATTTT